AATATTTTATTAGTTATTTTAGTATAATTTAAAAATAATGTATTTATTTTTAGTAATTTGATTTTTTTTAATTGCCCTTGTAGGCAGACGAGCATACGGCCCACCTGTTGGTGAGTGGTTACCGTCGCCCATGGACTTCAGCAATGCCAGGGGCAGAGCCAAGCCGCTGCCTACCGCTTAATACTCTCCACAAGCCTCGTTTGAAGAAGGTCATGTCATAGCGCTCGGGAAAAACCGTGGAGGGGAGCTCATTCCATAGCCGGATGGTACGTGGCAAAAAAGACCTCTGGAAACGCACTGTGGATGACCGCAGTGGCTCCAGGTAGTATGGATGAACTCTACTCCGGTGGCGGGCGGTGCGATGGTAAAAACGAGATGCCGGTATCATCTCGAACAACTCGCTCCTCAGAGCACTCCCCATGGAACATACGGTACAAAATACAGAGGGAACCGAAGTCCCTCCGCAGACCCAGAGGTTCCAAACGATCCGTAAGACCGGGATTATCGACAATCCGAACGGCCCTCCTCTGTATGGAGTCAAATGGAAGAAGCTGGTATTTGGGAGCCCTGGCCCAGAGATGGGAGCAGTACTCCACGCGAGGCCGGACTTGTGCTTTATAAAGCAAAAGCCTTTGTCCAGGCATGAAGTACCGCTTCGCTCTGTTAAGGACTCCCAGCATTTTGGACGCCAACTTGGCTTTGCCTTCCAAATGACTCCGAAACTGGACATCGCTCAAAATGTCGACCCCAAGTATCCCAGTACTCTCGGAAGGTTGCAGGGATACTCCATGGAATTGCGGCGCCATGACAAAGGGGTCCTTCTTCGCAGTGAACGCGTAAACTTGTGTCTTTAACGGGTTGAATTGAACCAAGTTCAATTCACCCCATTTGGAGACTCGCCCCAGAGAGTTCTCCACTTCAGACACAAGTTTTGATCGTCTCTCTTGCACCACGCTCCGAGAGAGACTCTGATGGCCGATATATCGCGTATCCCCCGTGCTGTCATCCGCATAGCAATGCATGCCATCAATAGACAGCATGTCATTGATATACAGGATGAAAAGCGTGTGGGAGAGCACCGAACCTTGTGGAACGCCAGCGTTAATGGTCATGGTATCAGAACAGTCACCGTCTACAACGACCGTGATGCTCTGCCCAATTTATTTAATAGTTTAATAATATCAAAACTTTTCTATTTATGAAGAGTCATTAATTTTAGTAGTTTGTTAGATACTACATTGACTATGTTATTGTTATAGATGATGGCTCCAGCAGATAGTAATCAAACAAATATATCATTTTCTATGAATATGTAAACTACATGACGATTTAATCTAAGGTTTATTTATTTTATGAAAAATAATATTCAATTTTTTACTATTTGTGGACTGGGCAGTGTACAAATTCACAACATCTACTTAGTTATAAAATACATAATATCTATTGGTTTTAAAGCGTTTTGTGGCCCGCACGGATAGGTACCACCACCCTGCCTATTCCTGCCGTGAAGTAATAATGCGTTTTGGTTTGAAGAATGGGGCCATTGTACTGTAAAATACTGAGACTTCGAACTCATGTTTCAAGATGGGTGGCGGCATTGACGGTGTTGATGTTGGTGGAGTTCGGAACCACTTAACATCGAGTGGGCCGAGAGCTCTAATCCATCCATCTAAGCAATAAATAAAGTCTACATTAAAGCGTAAAAGTATGTCTAGAATTTAGCGACGAATTTTAAAAACGTTGGAAATTAAAATTATGCAAAATTATATAAACTTTTTTTTTTTCAACAAAGTCTAATTTTCTCTTTATATTTTCGAGTATAATGAGTATTAGACGCGAGATTAAACTCTAAAGATATTCACTTTTTGTTAATTTAACGCCTAATTTCCCCTTTCCATTCATATTCTTATAAGACTTCTCATTACGTAATTGTAGACATGTTTTCTATCTGCAGAGTCATCTCGTAAATATTGGCGAACGAATTGCGTGCAAATATTAGCTTGTCTGACAATGTATACAGCAGTATGAACGTAAAAAAAGCTTTAAAAGAGTCAGACTTCGAGCAGTGTTGCGGTACAGTAAAAGCTTCCTTCATTCGAGTTTTCACTATATGCGGATTTAAAAAAATCCACCCAATTCCCATATACACGGCTGAAGATTTCTTTATTCGCGGATCTAATTTGTACATCTGTACATACATACTCATTAATAAACAGGATTCTAATATGTAGGTATCTAACCGAATATCCTTTATAAGCGCGTCGTCAAATGGACTAATAAAAAGTAAAATAGACCTTATTACAACTATTACAAAAAGTATGTTTTATATTTTGTGACGTACGGGACGTATCCCCCCCTATAATCCCATATATGTGTAAATTACTATTCCATATTCACGGTTTCTGTATTCGCGGTATATTTACGGAACATATACAATATGATTAAAGAGCTTTTACTATATATTCCTGTCTAAAAGTATTGATACTTTCCGATTTGATCAGTGCGAGTGAGATACCATTATACCAAAAACAGCGAATAAAAACCGATTTTTGTAAACGAAATCAACAAATAACCCAAAAAAGTTAATCTTAATAAGATTATTCGGTATGTAAGGTTTCGCGTCACGTTTTAAATAGCAAACGTTATCATGCTACTACACGTGTTAACGCAATGTAATTCTAGTTTTGCATGACTATAATCTTGTTATTTATAGTTGAGAATCTTTGCGATGTACGTATAAAAGTAATGACCACACTCCAAGCCGTTTTTGTGGATATATTTTTATTGTTTTTGTTTGCAAACGAGCATACGACACACCTGAGGGTGAGTAGTTACTGGTGCCCATGGATGACAGCAATACCAGGGACACTGCCAAGTCGCGGCCTATTCTGCCTTTTGTTGTTTGCATTAATGGTTTTTATAGCCACCTACATTTCAACACTTTAACAGTCGAAGTAGGAATGCCTAGGAATTGCCGGTAGGCAGCGGCTCGGCTTTGCCCCTGGCATTGCTGAAGTCCAAGGGCGACGGTAACCACTTTCCATCAGGCGGGCCGTGTGCTTGTCTGCCTACAAGGGCAACAAAAAAAAATTATCGTAGGTTAAAGATAGTTGAAATAATAGTATGAAGTTCAATGATGGTTTCAACCCACCAATGTTGGATATCCTTGTATAATTCGGCAGCGATGTCATGCCTGCCGGTTAGGAGTACGACAGCTGTTGTAAAAAAAAAACTAAGACTTCTAGACTCCAGTAACCGCTAAATATCAGATGGCCCGCCAGTTCTTTTAATACAAAACTCATATTTGCACCAACAATAAACAATGGTCTTTCACCACTGCTTATTAAAATTGCATTAACGTAACAAGTAAATTAACTACATTAGTTTCGTTATAGTTAATTTTAAAGTACGCTTAATGTTATTAGCTTATGTCTGTCGGAGCGTGACCAGCGCGAAAATCGTGTTTATTCTGACAACGAATGTCGGTCAGGAGGCACACTCGGAAAGTCGAGGATTATCCGTTTTTCTATGTTAAATAGGTCAGGGGTCATTGAACCTTTCACTTTTAAATATCAAACAGCGACCTGCTTCGGCTTTGTACGGGTGCGTCGGGAGATTACATTGAAATTCTTCGTAACTTTAAATACGTACATGCCCACTTGACAAATTATTTCATTGACGCTCTTGGAGTCATGGGTCAAGCCGGTACAATAGCCGGGCAGCTGAACACCACATAGTCCGCGCAAAGCACTCAGATGACACAAGTTCAAACACTCCAGCAACAACCGCAGACCCTCGTTGGCAATGGACTGGTCCAAACATCTGTCGCGAAGGCGGTGCAGCGACAAGCCACGCTACCCCCATGCAAGCGGGTGCGGAATGACGTACGTCCCTTAATACATGGAGCTCAGCACCGGAATCTCTCTTTATAGGAAAACATACCTAATTTGCGAGTATTTTTTTAAATAAAGTTTTTTGCTATAATATAAGTTTAAAGTACATGATATCCCAAGCAAATGTCGACTTTTCTTAACATTCCATTTGACTGTAACTCATACATTTCTTTCGGTGGAAAAACACTTATTAACTGAAATCGTATCAAGATCCATTATGTGTTTAAAAAAAACTAAGCTCGCATAAACAAACAAAACAAGACACTTTATTGACACGCTTTTATTAACTTTAACTGTCTCTTTCTCTCTCTCGGTCTATCACTATGTGTCTCTCAGTTCACTGGAATCTTTCAACGTTATTTTCACGGAAGACATGTCGTCAAGTCAGATTATCTATCGAACACGCGTCAAAGACCGATGACGGTACAATAATTTTATTATTTTTAGTACATACTAATATCCTGAACAAGATCACCAATATAAAAATTATTAATATTTTAGAACGGCTTGCTATAAAGCGTGTTGTTTTTATTTTCAACCGATGGTTGTTTTATTGTGTTTACTACTTAAATGAACTCAGTTGTGGCTATTATTAGTTTCGGAACCCACAGATAATAATCTCAACAATGGTTGAAATGTGCCGACTGTAGTTTTTAGTGGTGTCTCGTTATTGAATGCCATTGTATCAATACAGACCGTGTCGGGTCAAAATCCAAAACTAATGATTAATAAACACTGACCGCTAGATAATACGCGAATGGTATTAAGCATTTAATATGACCGATAGTTGAATAAATATTTTGGGTTAAAAATCTTATTTCATTCTCATTTTTAATGCCTACGTTTAATGCCTAAACATAGCAGCCACTTTATTATGCCAGGGGCACAGCCAAGTCGCTGCCTTTGTGTTTAATTAGAATAAATCCATCTGTGGGGTTGTCGTGCCCCCTTACTGGGGATCGGGACAGACCCTCTTTCTCCTGGCTTGACCTCCAGGACGGGGGTGAATAAACGTGTGGTCCCACGGAAAATTCTCAACACTTCGTCTCTTATTTAAGACGAAGGTTTTCCAAATCAAACCTACAGACAAGTTCCTTTTCAACTCACCTATCGTGCTGAATCAAGGCTATGGAGCTAGCGACTAAATCTTCAAACTGTTTCTCGCTGGCTGAACTGCCCTGCCTCTTGTGATGATGAGGAGTATTCGAAGCTGAAGACACGGGCGTCAACGATTTCGGATTTTCGGTGGTCAATGTTTTAGAACTGACATTGCCACTGGACTTGCTTCCGAATAGCTTCCAGGATACACCAGAGGACGAGGAGTCGTGGCTTTTAGATGAACTGTTGCTCTTCCACGGAAACACTCCTCTGTAACAATAAAAGAAAATCTTTAGGCATTTGATATATTTGTTGATTTTGATTTAGACGTTAAAACCTTAAGAAAATCAAGACGTCACCAGTATGCAGTCAAATCCCTGCCTGCTACTGAACTCTTACTCAAACGAGATTTTCAAATGGATATCCCATAGCGTTAGATAATAATGTTAATCTACATTAATTAATAGTATCCTTACAAACCGCCCTTCGAAACGAGACATATGAATTTACTGAACAATGAACAGGTGCTGTAGGAGCTCCACAAACATTACTTATTCAAATCACAAAGCACGACGAAAGAAAACAAACAATAAACCAGTCATCAAGATAGAGTACATTCCGGTAAACATGTGTGCTGTGCGTTCGCGTACGTGTGCTGGATACGTGAAGAGATTTGAGTCTATAATGACAAGGGAAAGTTTCCGACGAAGTAGGATACAGCTTATTTAAAACTAATTTTACGACTACTACGGGCGATCCGTGACCACGAAAACTATAGTGTTCGAATCAACCGAAATAATTTAAAGAAAATTAAAAAAAAAACGTGAGATTATGGACTCATGAAAACCAGAGAAAATACTGGTTCACTTATATTTGGTACGCCAAATTCAGATTTTATTTACGATTTTAAATCAATCGTTTCTCAAGAAAAACCTATTACCTTTGGGACGGTGTATGTAGTCACACCGGTAGATACTATCCTTCTGCGTATTTCTGCTACAAATGATTTATTATATGTATATAATCCGACCGATTTGATAGAACAGACTTTATACAATAAATACGCTGTGATATTTAAGGGGATCGGTTTTCACTTATTATTAGGCAGACCGTGAGTTCGTTCACCCGACAGAGCAAACAAAAATTCAATAACATCAGGAAAAGCCTTGAGCTGGAAATCGATCAGCCCGCACGGGTATGATGTGTCACTTTCTCTATACTTATATGTACATACAGCGAAAGAAACATGCGTGACACTACGGAGGGTTAAACTAGTTTTATTCCAATGCAATAGAATCGTCATCCGTTGCGCTTGGAGCCCCGGATAACCACTTGACATCTGTACATTTATGACATTAAAATAGCTATTATCAATCTCAATAAAAACAATTTCAACTACACGACTAAATAGATAGTGTGCGACGTTCACACACACACATACGCCAAACGGAATGTGATTGTGATAAAACAGACACAGACTTTACTGTACCGCGCAGACGTGTGTGGGTTGAGGATGTGAGATAATTAGTGAATAATTGTCGTAATTTATAACTGTTATTTTATTAATTTACAAAGACAGACGAGTTTGCGGCCCGTTTGAGAGTCGACTGACGACGACTCTTGAAGCTGGCAATAGATTGATCGCAGCCAACTCTTAAGCGCCGTTTTAAATGCAAAGTTGGTAAGCTTTTTTTTTATTATTGCTTTTGTAGGTAGATGTGCATACGGCCGACCTGATGGTGAGTGGTTACCGTCGCCCATGGACTTTAGCAATGCCAAGGGCAGAGCGAATCCGCTGCCTACCGTTAAGTACTTTCCACAAGCCTCGTGAAGAGAAGAAGGACAAGTCATAGTGCTCGGGAAACACCGTGGAGGGGAGCTCATTCCAAAGCCGGTTGATACGTGGCAAAAAAGATTTCTGGAAACGCACTGTGGATGAACGCAGTGGCTCCAGGTAGTATGGATGAACTCCACTCCGGTGGCGGACGGTGCGATGGTACGAAATGATGGAATAATCTCAAACAATTTCTCAGAGCACTCCCCATGGATGGTACAAAATACAGCGAGAGATGAAGTCCCTCCGCACACCCAGAGGTTCCAAACGATTCATGAGAACGGGATTACGGACAATCCGCTCCCAAATACCAGCTGAAGCAGCTGGAGCCCCGGCCCAGAGATGGGAGCAGTACTCCACGCGAGGCTGGACTTGTGCTTTATAAAACAAAAGTCTTTGTCCAGGTGTGAATTACCGCTTCGCTCTGTTGAGGACTCCCAGCATTTTGGACGCCAAATGACTCAGAAACTGGACATCGCTCGAAATGTCGACCCCAAGTATCCCGATACTCGTGCAGGGATACTCCATGGAAATGCGGCATCATGATAAAGGGGTCCTTCTTCGCAGTGAACGCCCAAACTTGTGTCTTCAACGGGTTGAACTGAACTTAGTTCGATTCACCCCACTCGGAGACTCGCCCCAGAGAGTTCTCCACTTCAGACACAAGTTTAAAGTGATAAATATACATAAGTAAGCGGCGTCTTACCTGTACCTCTAGCATTCCTATTGTCTATTTAGTTACGACAATAAATTACCATCAGGTGGGTCGTACGCACGTCTGTCTAGCAAGCCAATAAAAAAATTAAGCAAAGTGTTTGTTTATTTTTAAGGCTCATAATCATTATATGCTACGATGTTAATCGGCAGATGAGCTTCATCCCACCATGCTTATGGAGTTAATGGTGTCGAGGCTTCACTCGGAAAAATATTGGTATCTATCCAGGCTGGCTCATAATACCATTAGCGATACAAATACATATGAATATAAAAAAACTATGCCAATTTCATAAGTACAAGTAATGAATGACACAACAGAATTAATCCGATTAAGAAATCGCGAGCAGAATTAATCTTTCCTCGTTTGCATCATATACACAGGCATTGACACATACTTGTAGTATAAATTTGAAAAAAATCCATTAGCGATCTAATCGCGGATCGATTATGTTGAAATTTATGGTTCGGAAACGGTAAATAATCGAAGCGTAAAAGTGATTTTATTCGGCTGGTAAAAAATTAAAAAAGTATTCTTAAATACCAGTAGGTATAATACAAATGAAACGTGACAAAGAAACTTTGAAAACAATTTTTTATAAAGACCACATACCCTTCGTATTACCACCTTTTTTTCCCTACCTATGCTGATAGCCTTGAGAGGCTATATTAGCGTTACCGGACGAGTAGGTGACCGCGCTCAAACCTGGCGAAGTTCCTAACACTGGCCCTAGCAAGGGCAGTGCTTCGCAGAATCTATCACCGGATCGGAAACGCGACCCTCTGAGAAGATCCGGCGAGAAACTCAGCTGTGTCTGTGGGTTAATTTACTTGCCGAGCCCTTCGTCGCAAACGACGGGTTCGACGAGTACCATGACCGGTGCTTGAGGTACCTAAAAGCACCGTTAGTGGATCGGAAGAATCTGTAATGACGTTTTTTGGGCGACGTCGACTGTTTACCATTCGGTCCGCAGGATCGGGAATGAACGCGGCCGATATCTACCGCATATCTTTAACGGGAAAAATGTCTTTATAACTCCCAATGAACAAAAATTTAGACCTAGATAAGTGAAACGAAAAGATTCGCGTGTAATTTTATCCTTTTCTTTTGATTTCTCTACCTCTAGATTATAAATTTTATACTAACAGTTAAATAAAGCACATTTTTTACAAAAATAAGTGCACTATTACGAATACCAATTAAAATTGCTTCGAAAGTCGAGAAAGAAGTAAATAGATGTTAGATATTGTCGATTTCAAGCGACCAATTTGAAGTGTCTATCTAAAAAAAAAAATTTTTCAAACATTGTCTCTGTTTCATACACTCTAATTAATAAGTCAGTCCAATAACAGACATGAAGAATTTGCTTCAACGAATATGTCCTTGGCGCAATCTGCGCTATATTCCTATATTGAATTATTTATAGAGGTTAATAAAACACTTCTAAAGGTTAAGATCGTTTTCTAGTCAAACTTACGTACAGACAATAAAGCGTCGTTTTGAACTCCGAAATCAATTTCATTTTAAATAATATTGTTTTGTCATTACGAAAAATAAAAGTAACGAACTCAGACATTTAAAATGGAAACAGTTACATTTACAATACTTGGTAATGAGGGCTATTAGCCACCATAATTTCATTCATTATCGTTATTGCTGAAATAATAAAAACAAATAAAAATCTAGTTTAAAACGACGGAAGAAAGTTTATGTTGTTTATATTTCGAACGTAACGACATACTAGCACTATACATGGGTATTGAATTTCCACTTCACTTAGTATTTTAATTTCGACCACAAACGATACTAGCACTAATAGTAATACAGTCTAAAGTAGACATTTGATCGTACGATCAATATCACGTATAGGGATAAAAGATAAAATCAAAAAGAACATTGAAACAGTTGTTATTGAACTTAATTATATGCAGAAAACTGGTAATGGAGCAGCTTTTACATAAAATGATGCGAAGCCCACGTGCGATTTCGTCGACAATGAACTTCACGGCAAAAATGTGAATGTAAAACTTCTTTTTAAACTTACTCAATCAAATTATGAACCAATATGAACACAACGAGTTTGATTCAAAACTATTTAAGTCACAGTAAAATCACAGTGGAAGAGGCTGAATGAACCACCATGCACAGGGTTTAGGTTCGGTCTGATGTGTGTGCAGATGCGAACCTCTGGGAATTAATTCGAGGCCAGGGCAACAAAACTATAGCACGACATTCGTATAAGGCACAAGAGATGGCACGCGAAAGCCAAGACCTTAAAGATTTCTATGAATACTTTGGTCTCGCACTAACTAGTCGGATTATATCGATCCTCGGGCAGACTAGATAAAATGTTAGAGCTGAATAAACAAACAACTATGAAGATGGAGAAATTGCTTTTAAATTCGACAATAATTATAAATTATTATCGATGGAATAGCTATTATCGTATCGGTACAAACGTCCTATCTTTGCCGCCATAAGTTTCGATTTAGAGGGTAGGAACGCCTTTACTCCTATTTCACTTATGTTTATAACCTATACCTCAAGTTAAGCGGTAACATAATAATATATGTGTACATGTATTTTTTGTTTAAAACTTTAGCACCGGTCCACAAACAATACAATTACAAAACATGAAAAGAAAAATGCATTACATACACACCATGGGTGTTACGGAACAAAAGCCTCTAAAACAGGTTTTCCAAACGATTGTTGTCGAGT